GAGACAAGAACACAGCTTAAAACATTTGTTTCAAGAAATCAGTTAAGCTTACGTCTGTCGCCAGAACATTCCAACTTCGCTAACAATTCGTAGAATCGGATTAAAGTATATGAATATTCATTACAAGAACAAGTTAACGTCTGAAGTTTACAGAATTATATTGTTTTTGTTATAAAGTATTAATTTACAAGTAGTATACAAATAATAAAGTAGTAAGTTCTTACAACCCGACGTAGTTGAGAAGTTACTTTTGTTTAGACATTATGTTCGGTGACTGTTACATTTGATAGACTTGTGTTCGAACGTGACGTATGTAACTTATGAACATGATGGGGCGGAATTTGTGTAGATAATAACGTAAAGCCGTGCTTAAGGTGGCCTCGTGAAGCTTTCTACCATGACATAATTTGTAATCAAATATCTTTTGTTTAAGTGTTCAAAAGAGGCTTTATATTGATAGTACATCTAGAAATAAATTGAAATTACTGTTCTTAAGCTTTATTTTAAGAAAGTTATGATTTCTTTGTAAAGTGTACCACAATACTGTAAACATTGTGGGGTAGTTGAACTAATAGAAGGCTCTATTCCATTGCCTTAATAAAATACAACGTATATATATTTCATTGGTGGAAAACAAATATTATAGATTTAAAAAATGTGGAGAGATACAGTAAAATATATTATTAAAGATTGTTCTCGCGCGCTCCTTAAAAAAAGTATGAGGCAAAATAAAAATAAGTAAAGGAAGGAATTATTCTTCTTTAAGAATTGAAATGTCTATCCTTGGGTTCTTAACTGTACTTCAGTTCAGATTTGAATCTAAAAAAAAATATTTGCCATCTTACCAGGCGCTCGTCATGAATACGAAATTTTAACTTCTTAAAAATTAGAAATCCGCTTGCGTATAATGAATCGTTTTTTATTTATATTCGCCTTTGATACTTTCAAACTTTTGTTGTTTTATTTAAATGTTTCTTTCAAATTATTAAAGAAAACATTAGCTCATGACTACGTCACATTAAATAGAGGTATGGTCGAAAGCTTAGTGAGAGAGCGAAAGGGAAATTATGGTATAATAAGGCTAAGAATAGTATGGGATGGTTGCCGAATGCCGATGGCCATTCACAAGCTACAACTTTGATAAATTAATTAAAGTTAGCATCTTGGACCCCGTTCCGTATAGCAAAGTTTCTGATTAGTTTTGAACTTACAATGTTCATGATGTCTTAGTGTTTAAACGAAAAGCTTTTATGTTTTTATGTAAGGTGAGGAATCATGTTTCGTCATATTCGAGTTATAAAAACTATTCACATGTAGCTGTGCATAAATTTTGTGTTATTTGTGATAAATACTAATCATAACATTATGAGTTCATTTTAGACTTTCAACTGTTGACGATTGTCGATTGTTTCGCAGCCCATTGAACTGTTTAGTTGAACAATTTTTTTTTTTATAACACAAGGT